TCTGTGCGCTTCCTGGACTTGTAAGTCTATTTCTTTCACCAGGTGGGGGAAGTTTTCAGTCATTATTTCTTCAAATAGATTTTCAGTATCTTGTTCTCTCTCTTCTTCTGGCACCCCCATAATTTGGGTGTCAGTATGCTTGAAATTGTCCTAGAGGCTCCTTATACTATCTTCAAAATTTTTTAAAATATATTAATATTTTATTGGTTTTTTACAGAGAGAAAGGGAGAGGGATAGATAGCCAGAAACATCGATGAGAAAGAATCATCAACCAGCTGCCTCCTGCACACCCCCCACTGGGGATGTGCTTGCAACCAATGTACATGCCTTTGACCGGAATCGAACCCGGAACCCTTCAGTCCGCAGACTGACACTCTATCCACTGAGCCAAACCGGATTCGACTATCTTCAAATTTTTACCGTATTTTTCGGACCATAAGACGCTCTGGACCATAAGACGCACCAGTTTTTAGAGAAGGGAAATGAAGAAAAAATGATTCTGAAACAAATAGTGTCCTAAAATATTTTATGTGCATTAAAACCCAACATCACAGTCATAAACACATGTAATCAAAGTAAACAGCAGCATTTAGAACCATTTTAGAGCCGGGCAAGCACACAGAGACCACACAGAGCCGGGCAAGTAAAAAAACTTTTTTTTTTAAGTATATGTGTAGGCTATATTTGGACCATAAGACGCAGGGACTTTTTCCCCCCACTTCTGGGGGAAAAAAAGTGTGTCTTATGGTCCGGAAAATACGGTAAATTCTTTTTGCTTTCCCAGTTGAGTGTTTTTTGCTTCTTTGTAGTTCAAATCTTTGACTTGACTCTTGCGTTCCTCTAGTCTGCTGTTGAGTCTCTGTATAATATTTTTTATTTCAATCAGTTTTAGTTTAATTTCTAGTTGGTTCTTTTTCATATCCTCAAGGGTCTCGCTAAATTTATCGGCCTTTTCTAGGAAATTCTTGAAAAACCTTATAACCGTAGTTTTGAACTCTACATCCAATCGTTTATTTTCCTCCATTTCTTTCATTTGTGACCTGTTTCTTTGTCTCTGTGTTTTCGCTGCTTTTCTGAGTTGCTAGGGTAGCTTTGTGTGGTAGGTATCCTATATGGCCCAGTAGGTCAGCCTCCCCAGTTACCTGAGGTAGACACTCTTGGTGCTCCCCCTTGTGGACTGTGTGTACAGCCTTGTTGTAGTTAAGTCTTGATTATTGTTGGTATCACTGGGAGGAACTGATCTCCAGGCCAGTTGGCTGTGAGGATCAGCTGTGTCTGTGCCTGGAGAACTTATGTGCTGGAGACAGCCTTATGAGACAAGACTTATAGCTGGGCCTGTGGCTCTGGCTATAAGCTGGACAGCATTTCCCTGTGGTCTTGCCAGGCCTGGAGTTTGTGAAGATAAAGTTACAATGTCACATGCTTGTGAAGAGAAAGTCAGTAACAGTGTTGCATGTCCCGCAGTCTGGGTTTGTCTGCTATTCCTCACAAGTCCCAGTTGGGAATTCTGGGCAGGGCCAGCCCACCAGGTCGCACACCCAGCATCTGTCTGTCTCATTGTTGACACTGACTTTTCACTGGGTTAAGTGGTGACAGCCAGGCTTTCTCCTGTGAAGTTACTGTTTTTCTGTTTGTAAATCTAAGCGATTTGTGTCCTTCATTGACGGTTCTTCCTGAATGACACAGTTTGACACCCGCACCACCTCATGCCTCCCATTCCCTGGCTGGAATCGCAGCACCAAACCTGCTTAGGGATATCCCCATGGGCGGGTGCTCGCTGTGGGCTCCTGCCTGTGCGCTCTGGTGCAGGCTCCCTCCTCTGTCCTGGGGATTGCTCTTCCCCGGGCGCCCCTCCCTGTGGAGTGAGAAAACCTGCCTCCACGTTCCTCAACATTTTACTCACTGTGGGAGCCTTGAATACCCAGCCGGTTGTTCAGAACCACTTTGCCGTCTGGGAGGAGCACCCCCGCTCCCGGCTGCGCGTCGGCTGTGCCTCCCAGAGCATGCCGCCTTCAGGGGCTCCTTGGGCTCCCCCCTCCCTGGGTCATAGGATCCCATTTACATAATTGGTTTCAGCGTGCATTTCTTTTTGTTAGTCCTCTTGTGAGGACATTTTTCCATTGATTTTTATTTTATCTTTATTTTTTAATGCATTTTTTATTTCAGAGAGGAAGGGAGAGGGAGAGAAATATCAATGATGAGAGTGAATCATTAAAAGGCTGCCTCCTGCATGCCCCCTACTGGGGACTGAGCCGGCATCCCAGGCATGTGCCCTGACTGGGAATCGAACCATAGGTTGATGCTCAACCACTGAGCCACACCAGCTTGTTTATAGTATTGGAAACACTCACATGGTTCCAGATATCAGAGTAACAGTATACTCAAGAGCAGTGTCTTGTTTGTTTCTGGTTTATTCTTCCTTTGCCTTTATGGGTACATTTTGTCCTCCTTTTTCCACTCTTCTTTTTTTCTTTTTCTTGAGGTTTTAAAACTTTTTTCCCCATATTTAAAACATTGTGCATGCCAATAATTAAAATCATTTTAACAAAAAAATGGCCCTCTGATAACACTGCATTTCACAGCCTGCTGGACCCCTGACCAGCTGTTTCCTTTAGCTTCGCCGCCATATCCCACCCCCCCCCTGCCTGCAGCAGCCTGCGGACTCCCCTCACTTACCTGGTCCCACCTCCTTCCTCTCACGCGTGAGCGGGGGAGTCAGATAGAAGGCAGCTGGGGGCATGCCGCTGTGCGGCGGGGCGCCTGCTTGTTCTCCTGCCCCGTCCTTTCTGCAGTGGTTTTCTCTGGCTTTTCTGCTTCTTCAATTGCGACTTCTCGGTCTCTAACCTCAGCCGCGGGGCTTGTCAGGCATGGCTGTGGAGGACGCCGCGGGTGCCCAACCAGGAGGCTGCCTGCCGGGCGGGCACCGCGCTCACTCTGCCCTTCGCTGCTCTGTGTCCCGCCGGCTTGTTGGCACCGTGCCCTGTGGGCACCTCGCCCGCCGCTCCGCCGCCCACTCCCTCCCTCGGGCTCTGCGTCCCGCCCCGTGTTGCAATGGCAAACAGCGCCGTGATGAGTAACCCTGTGTACGCACTTTCCTCGTTTGCGGTGTTTCTTCAGGTGAGTTCCCAGAAGCGGGCGGCGGGCTGGCGGGGTGTGTGCTGTGGACAGAGCAGCATGGGGCACGGTGTCCGCCCGTCCCCGGTGGCCCCGTGGGCGGCAGGCCTTTGAGGTCAGGCCACAGCGATGGATGGGGATGGTCTCTGCAGCTCTGATCTGCTTTTCTCCGAGTGCGATTGAGCATCTTGTCAGCTGTTGGATGGCCTTCATTGCTTTGACAACAGTGTCCTACGAGGTGTGACGGCGTGGTTCGCCCTCGTGTCCCTGCCCTCCGAGCTGCTCGCTCCGGGGCGGGTCCCGGGCTTCCCTGTTCTTGACCTCGAGGCCCAAGCAGGGTGGTCAGGCAGCGTGTGGCTGGGTTGGTGTTTTCTCAGTCCCTGGCCTTCGGGTCGAGAGCACAGGGCGAGGTGCCCTTTGCCAGCCTGTCCATTCCGCTGGCTCCTGCTGCACACACAGCTCCAGCCTGCGCCCGCCGAGGTGGTCTCTCAGGCTCACCACGAGGTACTCCTTTCCCTCTTTGTGCCCCAGCTCCAGGGGAGCGTGCGCTCCTCGCCCCTCGCAGGGGGGAGTGTGGGAGGGGCGTCTCCATGACCTTGCCTGAGGCATGGATTCCTAGAAATGACATCAGCAGCACGGCCAGCAAAAGATAGACAAATGGGGCCTCGTCACAGTTAAAACCTGTTCCGGGCACACGGTCCGGGAAGCAGGCAGCCACTCTGGGAGAAACTGCACCCGTAACTGACAAGGGTCTGCCGCCACGATGCGCAGCTCCCTCAGGAGCCGCCCTCCCGCCCTCACCCAGGCCCCTGCTTTGCCTTCTGTCACCCAGGGCCCTTCTTTTGCTTCTGTAACATTTCCTTTTAACAGAGAGGAAGAGAGAGGGATAGAGAGTCAGAAACATCGATGAGAGAGAATCATCGACCAGCTGCCTCTTGCACACCCCCTACTGGGGATGTGCCCACAACCAAGATACATGCCCTTGACCGAAATCGAACCCAGGACCTTTCAGTCCGCAGGCCGACGCTCTATCCACTGAGCCAAACCGGTTTCAGCTCATTTCTGTAACTTTCTAAATAAACTTTCTCTTCTGATTTAAAAAACAAAAACAAAAAAAGGCACATCACTCTCCGTCAGCAAGGCGGTGGCTGTTCAGAACGGTGGGCAGTGACGGCTGCCAACAGTGGGATGGTCGGACCTGTCCATCCTGGTGGAGACAGGACACGGTGTGGCCCCTGGACTCCGTCTGGAGGTCGCGGGCTGCTCTCCGGGCACCCACAGGCTCGCTGGCGCTGGCCCCGGTTTCGGGTGGTCCCTCCGGCTGCTGCCCTGTGGCTGGGCTTGAGGCATACGGAGGCGCACGGGGCTGGCCTCGCCTGGCCAGACCCACCTTCCCGGCTGCGCGGGTGCGCCCCTGGGCGGGGGCTGCATTAGCGGAAGTGCGCCATGGGGCTGTCCCTCACCGGCTCGGTGGCGATGCTGTTCTCAGGGGAGGGCAGAGCAAATGCTCGGTTCCCCTTCCCTTCCCGTGTCAAACGGGAGCTTGAGTCTGTTCCCGCTCCCGGTTGGCCTTGTCAGCAGGAGGGCACGGGTGTGGACCACAGGCGCCAGTTTCCTTATAGAACTCAGGTGTCCCATCTGTGCTGTCACACGGGCACCTCTGTCCCCTGGGCCCCGTACTGTGGAGGGGTCCCCCACACCCGCTTCTCCTGCCCAGCCTCCGCCACGCTTCCCAGGAGCCCTGGCTGCTCTTGTGAGAGATGGTGCACAGGACCGCCGGGGCGCGGCTTCGGCTCGGCCCCTGGGAGGGCAGAGCTCCCACTGCGGGGCCCCCACACGCCCTGCGGGGCGATGACGCACACGTGTGGGTTTGCTTTCTCTCCCAGGGCTGAACATGGAGCTGGAGGACATTGCGAAGCTGAAGAGTAAGTGCTGTTCTCACCCCCCCCCCCCACCCCGCTGTGGCTGGTGATGCCCTGACCGCCCTGTGCCCGCAGTGATCCTGCTTCGCCTGGAGGGGGCCATCGATGCTGTGGAGCTGCCTGGAGGTGATGGAGGTGTCACCAAGCCAGGGAGGTGAGCGACTGGGCGCTGGCCCTTGACCCCAGGCCCCGCCTGGAGCTAGAGCCGGATGTGTGTGGGGCTGTGTCCTGGCTGCCCAGTGAGGTCCCTCCCAGGTCTGGAGGCCAGGAGGCTGCCGACTCACCCGGATGTGCACTGGTCTCTGCTGTGTCCCCTCTGGCGCTCAGACACCGGCCGAAGCACACCCTCTGTTAAGACAGAAAGTGCAGTCACACCAGCCACTTCACTAGGCCTCAGAGGACTGCTATTCTGAACAGCCTCAGCTGTCGAGGCCTCTGAGGTGGGCAGTGGTCCGTTCCTGCAGGCAGATGCCGGGTCCTGGCTGAGGCTGGTGGTAGCTCCTAGGTCCACAGCTGACAGCTGTGCTGGGACCCAGGCCAGGTTGTGGAGGGTTGAATTGGTCACGAATATTCCAGAGCATAGGCCGCCTGTCTGCTCTGCTGTGCTCAGACTCACAGACTCCCAGGTGAAGTCAGCTCCCTGCCCGCCCTGCCCCACACCACGGCGCCCAGATCTGGTGCGCCCTCCCATCTCTCCAAGCTGCTCTGTGGGGCCTGGCCAGAGCCACGGCCTCAGGTCCCTGAGGACCTCCCTCCGGGGCCCGGGCCCGGTGCTCCCGGCTCAGAGGCTGTCCCTCAGGTGGCCTCCTGGAGGGCTCAGGGCTCGTTTCTGGAAAGCCGTTGGCCAGTAGGTTCCCAGAGCCCAGCTGGTGCCCTCTCTCCCCGGCAGCTACATCTTCGAGCTGTTTGCCGAGGCCCAGATCACACTTCAGACCAAGGGCTGCATCTTGGAGTCCCTGGACCAGATCATCCAGCACCTGGCAGGACGTGAGTCCCTCCGCCCTGCGCCGCCTCTGCCTGTGCCGCGGGAGTGCCATGGACATGGGACGTGCGGGCACGTGCCGTGCCGCGTGGTGACTGCTGTTCCCAGGCCGCTTTCCCGAAGAGCAGGGCCACCGAGCTGTGGGCCCGCCGGCCTCGGTCCTGTCCCGGCAGAGGGTGGGGTGGGGGTGATGGGCAGCCTCACCCTATTTGTTCTCCTCACTGATGCTCTGGAGACTCACAGGGAAGAGCAGGCAAGCCCCTTCCTGGGTGGCCCCAGGTGGATTTGGGGGAAGGCGGAGCCTAGCCCGTGTCTAGGAGGCTCCCGACTCCTGAGCCGTGGCCTGGTGGTCAGTGCCCGCTGCTCCCACAGGCGCGGGGCTGTTCACCAACACGGCGGGGCTGCAGAAGCTGGCGGACATCATCCAGGTAGGACCAGGGCGCCATGCAGGCGGCGCCTTTCCCTGCACTCGCCACTCGCCAAGACCCGGGCGAGGCCTGCGCGCCCCTGCCCCGAGCCCCACCCTCAGCTGCTGTCCGCCGGAGCGCACGCCTGCCTCGGCTGCACTGCACCGGGCAATGGCAAAGGCCTTCTCAAGGTTTTCCTGAAACAGCTTTCAGAGGAAATCTGAGCACGAGCCCATCACCGAATGGAGGTGAAGGCTCTCCACCCAGCCCCATGTCTGGCCGGAGCCCGCCAGCCCCGAGGGGCGCTCGGATAGGCGGCGAGTGTGTTGAGGCAGTGTCCGTGAGCCCCGTGGGGCCTGCGGCTGCTGCCCTCGGTCAGCGGGCGAGGTCCCCACGTCCCAGCCGGCCTTACCCTGGGCCCGGGAAGCTGCTTTGGGTGGGGAGCCCCTCTCTGCAACCCCGGTGGGGATGTTACATCTCAGGCCACTGCGCACAGCCACTTCCTGTCCCCCAACTCTGGCCCACGGTCCTCGGTCCGGCCCGCCGCTCTCCCTCAGCTGCTGGCGACGGGCCAGCTGCGCGTTCAGGCCGTGACGAGAGGGCCCTGTGGCCATGGCGGAGGGAACTTGCCTCCTCGGTCCCTGTTGGGGAGCAGGTTTCTGCCCTCCGGACTCTGGAACCCAAACTGCTCGGCCAGTTTGGGATTTCCTGCGGTAGCTGCTCTGAGTGACCCATCTGGTGGGTGACGTGGGTCCCCTGCCTGCCTGGTGTGCGTGCTGGCCTGTCCCTCCAGCAGAGAGAATGTGACTGGCAGCAGCTCATCCCATTAGAGGGCAGAGGTCCCCCAACAGGTCTGTGCTGGGTGGGTGTGGATAGGGTCCCGGTGTGCTGCTGGCCTGGCCCTGAGCCCTGGGTGCACTCTGTTCCATGGGGGGACGGTGGGGTGCCCGCCGCGGGGTAGTGGGCTGGTCAGATGGACAGCCTGTGGGAAACATAGGAGCTCACGGTTTGTGCAGGGTAGAGGGTCTAAAGCCAGTGCGACTGGAGATTGAGCGAGGCCAGCATCAAAGGGACAGCAGGCAGCGATGTGGGGCTCCGAGATGGTGTGTGACCTGCTCACATGTGGGACCAGTCAACAGGATGCTGGTGTGCCAGGCACAGATGCCACTCTGCACGGGCCCACTGGGCATCAGACAGGACAGGCCCAGCCATGGACAGTGCTGCGTGCACCCACTCGATGTTCTTGGGCGGAAGGGGTCATGGGAGGGTGGGGAGTGGAGAAGAGAGGGAGACAGCATGGCAGGCACCATGGGCAGGTCACAGGGGACTCAAGCTGGTGTGACTGCAGCTCTTTTGCGTCTCCCAGCTGGGGGCCCTGAGGGGAGGGGAGGGGAGGGGTGAGGCAGGGGTGCTATTGGCTGGAAGAAAGGGGCAGGTGATGATGACACCCTGAGTGTCTGTCCTGTGTGGTGTCCTGCTGACCTTGTCCTCATCTCGTTTCAGATGGTATTCAGTGCAGACCCTGCCGAGGGCAGCTCCCCAGTGGGGCCTGGGGCCTCTCAGTCCTACAAGGTGGGGGCTGCCTCCAGCGAGGCTGTGGGCCAGGGTCTCTGTCCTATGGGATGGCGCCGCCTCCAGGAGGGGCTACAAGTGAGGGGCTGACACCTGTTCATCTTCCCTCCAGGTACACATCCACCCCGACACCAGCCACCGGGGGACAGCTCATCGGCCAGATGCTTGGAGCTCCACGGCGTCCAGAAGGCGAGGTACGGCGCCCGGGGGCTGGACACGTCCCCTGCCCGGCCCCAGGCGGGCACCCGGCGGGCCTCTGAGTCAGCCTCCTGGCTGTCATGCTGGAGGGGCCTGCGAGGAGGCCTCCCACATCGGCCAGGACGTTTTCTTCCTCTTCTTCTTTCTTTTTTAATATATTTTATTTATGTCAGCGAGGAAGGAAGAGGGAGAGAGAGATGGAAACATCAATGAAGAGAGGGAATCATGGATACGCTGCCTCCTGCATGCCCCCCACTGCGGATCGAGCCTGCAGCCTGAGCATGTGCCCTGACCGGAATTGAACCCGGGACCCTTCAGTTCACAGGCCGACACTCTATCCACCGAGCCAAACCGGCTTGGTCCACCCGGGACGTTTTGAGAAGGGTTGTCACCAGCCCCTGACCAGGCCCCGGGCTATCACGCTGTCCCATCAGGCGACAGAGTGGGCAGGTTCAGGCTGAGGCCACTCCACAGGCCTCAGGGCCACCTCGGAGGTCTGCTGGCTGATACCACTCAGGTCCCGGGGGCCCTCAGGCTGTCCTGCGTCCTGCCCTCTCCATACACCTTCCTCTTCTGGCCGAGTCCTCAGTGCTGGCACACCGTGGCTTCTGGTGTGGGGTGGCCTGTGCTGGCCCAGGCTCAGACTCCTGAGGTGCCCAGTCCTGGCCACCGCCCCTGGGGACTTAGCTTTTGGGTGGGGTTCGTAGCCCAACAGGTCCAGGGTAATGTGATGGTGCTGGGGTCAAGGCCACCCCCATCCCGGCCAATCCCCAGTGCCACTGGTGGCCCTCGGTGCCGCCTGCTCTGGGACCCCTCCGTTCTCCTGGGGCTGCTGCCTGCTGTCCCCGTGGAGCTGGGCAGGGAAGGAGGGTTAGGGTGTGGGGCGGTCGTGCCAGGATCAGCTCGCCCCTCACATAGCACCATTATCTCGGAGGCCAGCTGGCCCTCAGCCCTGGCAGGTGTACGGGTGCGGAGGGTAAGTGGGGCACAGTAACCTGTGTTCCCCTTCCTCTGAGAGGGTGTGGATTCTCAGAAGGGTGGGGTGTTTATAGGAAATGGGATAATTTCCGGCCTCCTTGAAAGCTGGGGCGGGGTGGGGCCTGGCCCTGGCACAGAGTGCAGGCTGAGGCAGCCCGGGGTCCCCCAGGTCACCTGTCTCTGCCGTGGCAGATGGCGATGTAAGAAACATCCACACCTGTAGAGGGTTTTTGTAAGTTCACTTGAGCGAAGCTGACAATTGCTAGGAATCAAAATCTGAAGGGATTGAGAAAATGCAGTTTTAACAGCTTATTTTATACATGAAATCCATCGGTGGTAGATTAGGAAGGTGAGGGAAAGCAAAGTGGAGATGCCTCTGGGAGGGGAGAAAAAATACGACACACAGTTTCACATCGGTGGGCACGGGATTGTTACCACTTGCTGCACATGGAGAGGGTGTGGGGACACGTGACAGGAGCTTCCTGTGGACTCCGGTGGGAGACTCGAGGGGCCGGGAGAGGAGATGACTGCCCTTCCAGAGGTCAGCTGTAGATGCCGAAAGACAGAACCAGGCTCAGTTTGGGGAAGACTGGCCTTTGTCAAGGAAGCTGCAGGCCGAGGAGGGACCGCCGTTGGTCTGGAATCTGTGTTCAGACCGTCCTGGTGTTACTTGGGCTGGCGGGCTGGCCCTGGCCAATGCGGCTGCTCCCGCTGCCCCTCCTCCGGCCAGGCTCGCTGACCCTACCCAGAAAGCGGCTCCTTCTTTTCTGGAAACGTCCCTGCTGACCCGTGACCGAGCCGTGACGTCGGAGCCCTGGTGGAAGTCTTTTCCCGGGCGTGGGAGCAGCGAGCGGGAGGCAGGCGTGTCTGCCGGGTGAAAGGGGGCCTTGTCGCCCTCCCAGCGGGCCCTGACGAGGGACGGCAGCTCCAGCATCGAGGCCCCGGAGCCGGGGGTCGGAGGCGGCCTCTGGATCTCCATGTCTGGGGTTGGGGTTGGCCGGCCTCTCTGGAGGTGACCCAGTGTCTGTTCCCAGCTTCTCTGGGGCAACTTCCTGATCCGCGGGCACCCGGCAGGGCCTTCTCTCACCTTCAGCTCAGGCAGGCCGCAGCCACACTTGGGCGCGCCCAGCAGCTGCTTGTGGAAGACTTGTGGGTGGTGGTCATGGGCCTCCCTTGGGTGACTGAGTGCAGCCTCATGCTCGTCCGGCAGGGAAGGTGCTCAGCTACTGGTGCTTCAGCCCCGGCTGCAGCATGCGTGAGCTGGTCGGCCAGGGCGTGCGCACGCTCCTCCTCACCAGCGGCACGCTGGCCCCGGTGGCCTCCTTCGCCCTGGAGATGCAGATGTAAGGCCGCCCTGCCGGGGCGGGGGGGGGGGGGGCGGTGGCCTGGGTGCTGGGGGTTAGGACCTCACGGGGGACATCCCTGCCTTCCCCTCTGCCTCCAGCCCCTTTCCAGTCTGCCTGGAGAACCCACACGTCATCGACAAGCACCAGATCTGGGTGGGGATTGTCCCCAAAGGCCCTGATGGGGCCCAGCTGAGCTCCGCCTTTGACAGACGGTAGGGGCCTGGCCTCGGAGGTGCGTGGGGGGCCGGGTGCTGGGCCCACGTGCAGCAGCTCCTGACTCCGTGCAGGTTCTCTGATGAGTGCTTGTCCTCGCTGGGGAAGACGTTAGGTGAGTTCCCGGGAGCCCTGGCCTGGCTGTCCCATCCTGGACCCACGGCCCTGGTGTCGGGGCGCCTGCCTCGCCCTGCCCAGCCCTGCCCCCTTCCCTGCTTTCTCGTCCCGGGGCGGCCGGCGGGGCCTCTGGTCGCCCTTCCCGCTGACCATGCTGCTCACTTCCAGTCAACATCACCCGCGTGGTCCCCCACGGGCTCCTGGTCTTCTTCCCCTCCTACCCCGTTCTGGAGAAGAGCCTGGAGTTCTGGCGGGTGTGTTCCCTTCCCTGGGTCCCGGGGGGAGGGGAGGGGAGGGAGCCCGTGGCCGGCGTGGCCGTGGTGCGGCCGTGGCTGCGGCCGTGGCTGCCGGGTCTCCTGAGCCTCACCGCCCCCTTCACCCTCTCCGCAGGCCCGGGACTGGGCCAGGAAGCTCGAGGCCCTGAAGCCTTTGTTTGTGGAGCCGAGGAGCAAAGACAGCTTCTCAGAGGTCCGAGTCTGCTGGGCGCACTGCCCCACAGGTGCTTCGGGCGGCCGCCTGCCCCCGGCGGTGCCTGGCTGCGGTCTGGCCTGGGCCTCTGCCTCCTGGGAAGCTTGGGCGCAGGGACGGGCCAGCAGGTGCCTGGGGGAAAGGCTCCCAGCCCTGCCCCGTGTTTTCTGGGAAACGAAGCAGCCCTGGGTGCTGGATGTAGGTCCACCTGGGAGCCCAGCCATGAAGCGGCTCTCAGAGGAGGGTGTGTGGGCCACACTCGGGAGGTGGAGGGGGCCAGGGCCCTGCTCCCGTGACCCGTCTCCTTCCAGGTGATGGGTGCTTATTACACGAGCGTCGTCTCCCCAGGGTCCCGAGGGGCCGCCTTCCTGGCTGTGTGCCGGGGCAAGGTGAGTCGGGTCCCACACGCACTGCTGTCTCCTCCCCACGGGAGCTCGTGACCGTGGCCTGGGGGCTGCGCTGCGGGTGGAGCGGGCGGTCCCTTCCCTTGGGGCCCGCTTCCAGCAAACACCCCTGACCCTGGCTGGGGCCGGCGGGGTGGGCGGGTGGGACGGAGGAGGAGTGGTTGTGGGGTTCTGGGAGTGTGGACCCCAGCCAGGGCCTGGCCCAGGCTTGGAGGTCTGTCCCTGACTGTCCACGCCGGGGAGCTTGTGGCGTGAGGGTCTGGGCAGACCCTGGGTAGGTCCGCAGGCTTCCGGGCTTGTGGGTGAAGCCTGTGCTACCGGCAGGCCAGCGAGGGGCTGGACTTTGCGGATATGAACGGCCGAGGGGTGGTTGTCACGGGTCTCCCGTACCCCCCACGCAAGGACCCCCGGGTCATCCTCAAGATGCAGTTCCTAGACGAGATGAAGGGTCGGAGTGGGGCCTCGGGCCAGGTGAGGTGCCACGTGGTGGGCGGGGACCTGGTGGCCGTGGAGACCTTGTGACCGGCTCCCCTCCCCCCCCAGTTCCTTTCTGGGCAGGACTGGTACCGGCAGCAGGCATCCAGGGCCGTGAACCAGGCCATCGGGAGGGTCATCCGGCATCGCCACGACTATGGGGCCGTCTTCCTCTGTGACCACAGGTGTGGCCCTGTCACCGCAGGGGCCCTGCTGGGGGGCGGGCCTCGGGCTGACGGCCGCTCCCCCCAGGTTCACCAGTGCGGATGCCAGAGCCCAGCTGCCATCCTGGGTGCGCCCCCACGTCCAGGTGTACGACCACTTCGGCCACGTCATCCGAGATGTGGCCCAGTTCTTCCGGGCGGCTCAAAGAACCGTGAGTCCCGAGTGCCCAGCTGGCTGTGCCCCCTCGCCCTCCCCCTCCCCAGGGGAGGAGTTGGGTGGGACTCCCAACCCAACCACCTGTGACTGTCCAGATGCCGGCGCCTCTGGCTGCGCCCCCGAGCCCGGCCCGGGGAGAAGGCGCCGTCCCGGTGGCTGTGTCGCTCAGGGCCCTCTCCACCAAGAAAGCCAAGAGCCTGGACCTGCACGTGCCCAGCCTGCGGCAGGGGCCTCCAGGTGTGTGTGGCCGGGGGTGGCCGGCTGCTCCCGCAGGCTGGCGGAGGCAGGGCCCGAGGCCGGAGCGCGTGGGTCTGACTGCTGGGGACCTCCCCCTGCCCTCCCCCAGGACTCCCAGCCTCCGGGGACGGCGGGGACGCCGCGGGCAGCCTGTGTGTGGAGTACGAGCAGGAGTCGGTTCACACCCAGCGAAGGCCTGTGGGGCTGCTGGCCGCCCTGGAGCACAGCGAGCAGCTGGCCCGGAGGCCCGGGGAGGAGGAGGTATGGGTGCAGGGGCCCCAGAGATGGACACAGACCCAGGCACTGCCTGTTATTCTCGGGCACCTGCACACTCCCCCACAAGCCCAAGCCCCGGTGGGCTCTGACATGGTCCTCTCAGGCGTCCTGCTGTGCCTTCGGGAGCCGGACAGTGGCCAGCTCCTGCCCAGCGGCTTTTGCCCAGAAGTCGCAGCTTTGACCTGGAGGTCCTCTGTCCTGCTGGGTGGCATCTCCTGCTCCCTTCCCATCAGCCCCATCAGTTACTACAAGACCATGTGCCGTGCCTGCTTTCAGACTCTGCCCCAGCTGACCTCACTGTGGCCCCACACAGTGTCACCCGGGGCTTCACAAAGGGCCCGAGGGCCTGGGCTGGGACAACTGTGTGACTGCCCTGTCCCCCTCCCCCCCAGGCACAGTGCCACTCCGGCCCGGCCCTCCCCGGGGAGAAGAGGACTGTGGCGGAGCAGAGAGCGGCCAGGAAGAAGATCAGGCTGGTCAGCTGCCAGGTGGGTGAGCCACCCAGACCCCCTGGGGATGTGGTGGGAGCCAGGCTGGTGCGGCTCTTGGTGCCCTTGCCCATGGCCGGCCCTGACCCAGCAGAGTGAGGTGTGAGCCGCCAAGCCTGCGCCATTCTCAGTCCACTGCCCCTCAGGGTGGGAGGCGTGGCCGGGCCGGGCCGGGGTGCGGGAGCTGAGGGCGCTGTGCGGCTTTGATGGGCCCTGCCTTGGTTTTGCCGGGCATTTACTGTGAGGTGCAGATTTGCGCCTTGGTCCTGACAGTGCCGACTGGCCTTCGCCCAGGCTCCTTTGGCCCAGGTGCTTATTGGTGCGGGGCCTGGCCTGCCCAGGTCCCCTCTCGTTCAGCCTTTCACGGCAGGAACACGCGACTCCCACAGAGTGCGCGAGAACACGTGCCGGGTGCCGCACGCGGGGCCCTGCACACGTGTGGTCAGGTTGGGCCTGTCGGACACAGAAGGCCCTGCCCCCAGCAGGCGGGGACAGGCCCTGGCCCTGGAGGCTGCAGCCAGGCTGGCTCCCCGCAGCAGTGCTGGGCCTGGCACGAGGTGGAGGCCATATGCCCACACACAGGAGGGTTCGTCCCCATCCTCAGATGAAAGCAGTTGAGAGCAACTGAGGAGACGGTCTGGGCCGAGAAGCCTCGGGAAGCCCCGCCATCCTTTGCCCGTCTCTCTCACTTCTGGGAAAAAGCAGGCGGGTGTCAGGAAGTGGGCTGGGTGCCAGGGGCCAGCCTGTGCCGAGGGCTGCACTGGACAGGCCAGAGAGCCTGGCTTCCACACTTCCCGTCCAGGCCCACGTCAGGGCCTAGGGCACAGTGGACATGGAGCCGCGCGCCCCGGCCCCAGGGTTTGAGAGGCGTCCCTTGCTGTGAGCTGCCCACCCCCCGGCCAGGAGCGTCCTCTGAGCTGAGTGCCGCTGCGGCTGCACCGGCCCTGGGTGACCATCCTGGAGCCGGCGGGGGCAGGAGGCGGCCAGAGGGCAGCCCAGGGCCTCAGCCACCTGTGCTAGTCCTGAGAGGAGTGTCCCCCCCGCAGTCCCTCCTGGCTGCCTTCAGCGGGACCCTGCCGCCTGCCGGCCGCACGCGTGTCTGATGGGTTCCTGGCTGTGTCCACAGGAGGGGCTGGCGGCAGGTGCACAGGCGGACAGAGCCAAGCTCTTCATGGTGGCTGTGAAGCAGGCGCTGAGCCGGGCCAGCTTTGCCGCCTTCACGCGGGCCCTGCAGGAGTATAAGGGCTCGGACGACTTCCAGGCTCTGGCGGACCACCTCAGCCCCCTCTTTGCCCAAGACCCCGAGAAGCACAGCCTGCTCCAAGGTGCCTTGAGGGGTGCCGCAGCCAGGGTGGGCAGAGGACAGCGGTGGGCCTCCCAGGTGCAGGGCTGTCCCTGCTGCCTGGCGAAGGTCCGGGTGGTGCCGCAGCATGTGGCACCCGCGCACCCAGACACCCCCTCCAACAGGCTTCTACCAGTTTGTGCGGCCACACCACAAGCAGCGGTTTGAGGAGCTCTGCCTCCAACTGACGGGCAGAGGCTGCAGCCACCCGCCTGAGCACAGCCTTCCGCGTGGGCAGTGGGCACAGCCAGCCCTGGACCCTGGTGGTGAGCGGGGCTTCCCCGCAGGCTGAGGGGCTGGCACCTGGGGTCTTGAGTGGGCCCGAGCTTGGTCTAGCCTCCCTGTCTCTGTAGGGGCCAATGGGGGGCACCACGTCGACCCCCAGAGCACGGACGGCTATCGTCTTACCCACACCGGGGCCCTGGAGCCCCTGTCCCTCCCCCCAGAGGGGCCCTGCCCTGGGTGGGACTTCCTCAGGGTCACCGCCCGGGGAGGGGACTTTCCAGCCCCAGAGTCACTCCCTCCTGGGTTTGGTGCCACAGGGCGTCTCTCCGAGCAGCCAGTTCCACCTGCCATGCAAGTCAGGCCCGAGGAGGATGTGAGCACCAGATCTGCCCCCTCGGGGACCAGCTGGGAGACTCCGGTCTCCTGTGCCTCAGGAAGGAGGGAGCCTGTCCCCAAGGTGACCATGTCCCAGAGTGCGGCCAGGCAGCTGGACACTGGAGGGCACCTGAACTGCGGCCAGCCTCACCTGGCCTCCCGGCCACCACCCGAAGGTACATGGCCCTGAGGAGGCTCTGACCAGAGCCAGGAGCAGAGCTGAAGCCCTGGGAGGGAGGAGCCTCCTGGGGGCTCTGGGCCGACAGTCTCTCCCTCCCTCAGGAGACGCTGGCCTCTGTGCACAAGAGGGGCGCGGCGCTCCGCAGGCCCAGAAGCCGAGCCCGCCTGTCGTGAGCGCCTACCTGGCGGATGCCCGCAGGGCCCTGGGGGCTGGGGGCTGCAGGCAGCTCCTAGCAGCACTGACCACCTACAAACGGGATGACGACTTCGACAAGGTGGTGGCTGTGGTGGCAGCGCTGACCACCTCGAGGCCTGAGGACTTGCCCCTGCTGCAGAGCAAGTTTCTGAGGGGCCTTGGAGGGGCTCCAGGGAAGGGGACTCGTGACGGGGCAGGTCCTGAGCGCCTGTCCCCCCCACCCCCCCGCAGGGTTCAGCATGTTCGTGCGCCCACACCACAAGCTGCGCTTCTGGCAGATGTGGGCAGACCTCACCGGCCGGCCTACCCCAGACACAGGCACCGTGCCCCCGGGACTCCAGGAAGGGAGCTCCGAGGCGTTTCCCAGCCTCACCCCCCGGGCGCTCCGGCCAGGTAGGGTGACCTGCTGGTGCTCCTGTCCCTCCCGTCACCCAGAGCCCTGTGCAGCCTCGGGAGGCACGGGCAGCAGAGGTGCACCAGCTGCCCCTTGGACTCCCTCCTCTGTGCCCAGGCCCCTCCGACCAAGAGAGACCAGGGAGGACGCAGAGCAAGATCTCCTCCTTCCTCCGGCCGCGGCTGGACCCCCAGTGACCCCACGGACAGGCTAAGTGGGTAGGTCTCGTGGGTGTGGCTGCCAGCAGAGGAAGCCATCCCTTCCCCGTGTCCCTCCTGCTGACAGCAGCACTGGGTCTTGACCAGCCCTCAGGGGAACGACTGCCGGCCACCACCCTTGGGGGGAGGAGGGAGGGGAGAAAAGGGAGGGGGCCTGGCAGGTGTGGCCAGCGTCCTCCGTGTCTTCCCAGAACCCCAGGAGGACATGGTGTACTGGACCTGGGGCGCCCCTGCCAGGAAGCAGAACCACAGGCTGCTCTTCTGGAGACGCCTGGGCCACCCTCCCTGGATGCAGTGGGGCACTTGTCTGCTGGCTCAGGGTGGGCCAGGCCCAGCACCAGCAACCCTTTGGTCCAGAGCCTATAGTCAGAGGCCGATCTGTCCAGGGACAGCCATGAGACGGCACCCAGGTCTCTGGCCGCCTGGGAGAAGCCCTGCAGCCACTGGGGGTGAGGGCCGCACGGAGGGGTGCACCCTGGGCCATGCTGGGACTGCCTAGAGGTGGGCCGAATAAAGCCGCTGGCACATGGGTAAACTGTTCACGTTGCCTGGGCTTGGTGGTGGAGGTTGAGAAGCCAGAGAGGAAGGAGGGGGGCATCTGCCTGGAGTCCCCTGCCCACCCTATCCCACGAGAGGGTGCCTAAACTTGGCTCAGCCTCCATCCTTGCAGCTGGACAGGAAGACACTGACACCAGAGGGGAGAGGAACCTGCCTGCCTGCCCCCCCTTGTACACCCCTGACAGCTTTGTCACAGGCTGTGCCTGGCGATAGGGGGCCTCACAGGACTGCCTCCACCGGGGAGTGGGGGGGAGCCTGGCCAGGTGAGGGTGCTGAGACTGTGCCCAAAACGGTCAGAACATGCCCTAGCTGGTTTGGCTCAGTGGATAGAGTGCTGGTCTGCAAACTGAAGGGTCATGGGTTCAATTCCAGTTAAGGACACATACCAGGTCACAGGCTTGATCCCTAGAGGGGGGTGTGCAGGAGGCAGCTGACCAATGATACTCATCATTGTTGTTTCTCTCTCCCCCTTTCCCTTCCTCCCTGAAATCAATAAAAATATATTTCAAAAACAAAATTAACTGGGTCAGAACACGGCCTGCTGGAGGTCACCAGCCCTCCCAGGTTTGGGAGGCCAGCCCTAATAGGCGGCGCTGGCCAGAGCTGGAGGCCTCTGGTTGGCTGCAGGTGGGGTGGGCGGGGCCTGCTCTGCGGACGAGTGGGAATGTGGCTGGGGCGGACTGGCGTCCCCGGTCGAGTCCTGCTCCAGGGAGGATCATGAAAGCACCGGCGAGGCTGCCCCTGGTCCTGCCGAGGGCACTGCGGCTCCTGCTGATGCTGGCCGTGCTCGGGGCAGCGGAGGACGTGCCCACCTACCCGTGGCGGGATGTGGACACGCGGGAGTGGCTGATGTGTGGCCAGTGCCCCCCTGGCACCTTCGTGCACCAGCCGTGCAGCCGGGACCACCCCACGACGTGCCGCCGGTGCCCGCCTCACCACTACACGCAGTTCTGGAACTACCTGGAGCGCTGCCTGTACTGCAACGTGGTCTGTGGGGAGCACGAGGAGGAGGCGCGGCCCTGCTCTGTGCTCCACAACCGTGCCTGCCGCTGCCGCCCAGGCTTCTTCGAGTTTGCGGGCTTCTGCCTGGAGCACACGCCCTGCCCGCCGGGCTGTGGAGTGGTTGCCCTCGGTGGGTGCCGGGCACCGTGGGTGGCCGTGCCAGGGCTCTCCATGAGAATGCTCCGGGTCACCCTGACCCTGTCCTCCCACCTCCTCCCCAGGCACCCCCACCCAGGACACACAGTGCCAGCCATGTCCCCCAGGCACCTTCTCCGCCAACAGCTCCAGCTCAGAGCGGTGCCAGCCCCACAGCAACTGCACAGCCCTGGGCCTGGGCCTGAACGTGCCGGGCACCCCCTTCCGTGACGCCATGTGCACCAGCTGCACAGGACCCCCACTCGGCACTCCAGAGCCAGGGAGCACAGGTGACTGGACGGGGGCAGGTGGGGGGATAGAGGGGACCGCAGATGAGGGGAGGATGGCCAGGGGGCGGCAAGCTCAGCCTGTGCCCTCCCCAGCTCTTGGCCAGTCCAGCCCTGGAGCCATGAGGCATTTAGCGGGCATCTGGGAAGTGCCTCCAGCCTCATGGGGTCAAGGGTCCCCAAGACCCACTGAGGAGCCCTGGGTAGTGGCAGTGGCACCATGGAGTGCACTGTGCTGATGGCTTTAGCGTTGGCTAGCAATGCTGTTCCCCACCCATCACTGGGTGCCCAAGTCAGCAGAGCGTCCCCTCACCCCAGGCCCACATCTTGGGGCCGCCCCTCCCACCACCCTCCTGGCCTGAGAGCCAGCAGGTCACTCTCGGGGGTTAATGCCGGGACGCGAGGAGGGCTGTGTGCAGGGAGCCCTCACCCAGGACCTGGCCAACCCCCCCACAGGGACCGAGGAGTGTGAACGTGCCCTCGTGGACTTCGTGGCCTTCCAGAACGTGTCCTTCCGGAGGCTCCTGCAGCTGCAGCAGGCCCTGTCAGGCCCGGGGGCTTGGGCTCCCCGCCGGCCCCCGGAGGATCGCCTGTCCTTGCAGCAGACGCTGCGGAGGCAGCTCACGAAGCTGCGCGAGGCCCGGCCAGGGGCGCTGGCGGCAGGGCTGCTGCAGGCCCTGCGCACGGCCAGGCTGCCGGGGATGGCGCGCACTGTCCGCCAGCGCTTCTCCCTGGCCGGCTGAGCCCGTATTTATTCTACCCAGCAGGCACCAGGCTGTTTTCATAAAACCCTCTGTAAAGCTGACTGTCTAGAACTGCTGTGTGACGGTGGTGGGCTGAGGCAGACCTTGGCAGGATTATGGGAAATGGCCTGTGGGTGGCAGGTGTGGCTTTCCCTCTGTGGGGCACAGGGGAGCTGAGGCTCACTCCATGGCCCAGCCCCACGCTGAGCTCTGGGCATTTGGGGGTGGAGGGTTAAGTCAGGGCCAGTCAAGGAGTGGCAGTGCCCGGGCGGGTCACCAAGTCCAGGGGCTCTGCTGTGAGAGGATTCAGTGGATTGCTGTGCTCACGCCCCTCCTTTTGAGTTCCACCCACTCCTACCAGCAGGGGACTTCCCAGAAGGGACCAGTGTCCCACGGGCTTTCTGGGAAATGGCTTTTCCTGTGGGGCAGACTCACACCCTCAACATGAGGGAACCCAGGGAAAAGGGACTAGATGGCTCCAGGGTGGGGGATGGGACTCCCAGCCCTAGCTGCCCCTACTTCGCAAAAGGCTCAGGATTTCCCATGAGTCACTTCCCCTGCCACTGGGTCCCCAGCCCCACTCCTGACTCATTCCTTTCCCAGCAGCTCCTTCAGGCCCCCCCTGGGAGGAGAGTCTGGTGGGACCTCTCTGGAACATGAAGCCGGCAGGTCCTGGCTGTGGCCCAGCCATTCAAACAGCCTGGATGCCCTTGGGCTGTGGCCACTACTCAGGCTCAGAGTAAGGGTGCATAGGAGCCACGCAGACTCTTTATTTTCTGCACAGGCCCCTGGCCAGGCTGCTGGTCACCAGCTCTCCCAGGGGCCATGTGAAGAGGGGCCCCAAGACCAGCCTTGCTTGGAGGGCCTATGCTGCTGGGCACAGGCCTGGAAGAGGGGATACACCCCTCACACTCAGCGGGGAGCACAGGCCCAACACACCACCAAACACCCCCATGTCCAGGTCACCCAGCCCCCGACACATCCCTGAGCTGGCAACCGTGGCTGCCCCAGGTGGTGGCAGGTGTGCCAGGGGCCTCCCGCTCCGCTTGCCGCTCCCTGACGTCGGGCCGGTGGTGGTGGTGGTGGTGGCGGCAGGGTCCACCAGGGCTAGTCAGATCGCACTTAGCCCAATCCTGAGGCTGCATCAGCGCTCAGGACCTGCTGGCCTTCGGGGATGTGGGTTAGACCCCTTAAGGTGACACCAGCTCCCAGCCCACCTCCATGATCAGAGAAGGCAGGGGCAAGGCCAGCAGGGCCCTAGCCTCCTTCGTGGGCATGCTGCGGTTGGGATTCCTGCAGGCTGGGGCAAACAGCTCCAAAGGGCACCCACAGGGCCAAAAACCGGGCCTCGAGTGGCAGAAGCCTCCGGGCGCCTATACTTTTCAGGACACAAAAGTCTGTCTTAGAGGAAAAACAAAGCAAATGAAAACTCCAAAGGCAAAGCCAGCCCAGCCCCGGGACCGGTGGCTCCAGCTGGCAGGTGTACTCCTCCGCTCAGGCCCCAGCTGTGCGCCCAGGTGCCGTGCTCCTACGTGATGTCCCTCTGCCGAGGCGGCCGGTGCACATTCCGCACCACGCACTTCACCATCCACTCGATGCCCTCGCGCACTCCTTTGCTGTGGAGACAGTAGGTATGAGGTGGGGCCACCGGGACCCTGGGGCAGGGTGAGGGCCCACTCACCCTGTGAGGGCGGAGCAGGCCTGGGTCAGGCAGTCCCGCCGGCCGATCTTGGAGGTGCAGTCACTGAACGCAGTCTTGATATCCGGAATGGAGAGGCAAGTCTGGGGGGAGGGGGGGCGGGTTGTAAGGCACAGCCTGTCCCTCCTAAAGCCCTTTCCTGGCATCAGAAAAATTGTCCGGCCCTCAGGGCAATCCCTAGAGCTGCCAGAAGTCAAAGGGGCATGAGCTCAAAGATGGAGGCTGAGGACAGGGTGGGGGGCCAAGGTGGTCCCTTCAGAGCTTCTCTGCCCAGCAGGGTCCTGCTGGTCACAGGTGGACGGGAGCAAACTAAAATGCTCCTCAGGATGCTGTAAACCCCCACCCTGCGACAGCCTTTCCCTGGGGGTTTGGCTGACTGGTGTCCCCAGAACGGCCTGTGTCCCTCCCCAGATAGCTCCTGGTTTGGGGGGTAGGGCTGGCACTGCTGTCAGCTCCAAGAGCAGCTCTGACACCACCCTGAAAAGACACCACCTTTGTCTCCTCTCCAGAGCTTTCTGTGGATCACATGGGTCTCCCAGAGCCACAGAGAACAGGACAGGGGGTAGCCACACACACACACCGCCCCCCGGAGAGGAAGTGCCCTGAACAGCCAGGAGAGGCCTCGGGAGGGCTCTGTGCACCTGGGCAGACACCGTGCAGGGTGTCCGAGGAAGGTGGGGCAGGCTCACCTCAACATCCTGCTTGTTGGCCAGCACCAGGATGGGGACACCGTCCAGAGCCTCGCTTGTGACCATCTTCTCTGAAATGGGCAAGAGGGGCATCAGCACCCCTTTGTCCCCCTGTCCACCAGCCCACCAAGGAGTCTATACATGCCTACCAACCTCTCCATGGCCAGGACCCTCTGACCTGACATGGCCCAGCCAGACACCCGCATGTGCGGCCTGGGCATGAACAGCCTGGCCCCGGTTGGGCTGTACCCACCGAAAGCTTCCTTGGATTCCGACAGTCTCTCCTCGTCTGTGGAATCGATGACATAGATGACACCGTGGCACTCAGCGTAGTACTGGGGAAGGCAAAGGGGCAGAGAGCGAGCCATGAGCATCCAGCCAACCCCCACCTGCAGCACCCTTATCTGGGGTGCTTTCTGTGGGTGGGGAGGTAGGGCGGCATGGAGGTGCGCCCCCCTAGGCCCCTCAAAGGACTTGCTGACCTTGGACAGGGGTAGCCACCTCCACTGACCACTTCCTAGGGGCTGTATCCCATCTCCTACTTCAGGGCCAGCTCCTGCAAACCACCCACACGGGCCTGATGGTGGCCCGAAGGGAGAAATGGGGCTTGGAGGCTGGAGGAGCCCAGAAGAGCCGGTCCCCAAGCAGACCCGGAAGTGGAGCACACCAGAGGGGCCTCGTGCTGGCACAGACAGCAAGCCAAGAAAGGCCTGAGGACTAGGCCGGTGCCACCTGTGAAGCAGCTCTGTGCCCTGTGCGGATGGCAGGCCACGGACCAAGCCAGCTGGGCTTGGAGCTGCGTGTTCTGGATGATGCCAGAGGGCGGTCAGCCGTAAGCTTGCTGATAGCAAGGGTCACGGGGAGCCCCCTGCCAACCCTTACTGCCGAGCCCGGGGCTGTGAGGCCAGTGGAACATATGCAGAGGCAGGGCCTTCTGAGATGGACTGCCTGGGCCTGGGGCGCCAGGGACACAGCCACACTGGCCAGTCCACATTCTGCACCAGCCAGAAGAGCCTGGCACCGTCCACACTGCGGGGCAGACACAGAACCTTGCACTGGGCTGTGCTGTGGACTAGGTAGGATGACCCAGCGGTCAGCAAGCTGAAGGAGGCTCTGGAACATTCCTGAGGGTGACGCCCACCCCACTGAAGACAAGCCTTTGTCTGTACTTGCTAGAGGTGGCCCTATGTTTGCATGCTATGCTCCCTGCACACCAGCCTTTGTAACGAGTGTGCACACTGCGCGCCCTGCACGCCAGCCTTCGTGCTGAGTGTGCCCACTGCATGCCAGCCTTCGTGCTGAGGGCCGTAGCTGTCCGGCACACTGGCCTGCTGCTGATGGAGCTGCTGGGCCACCTCAGAGGGCCCTGGGCAGAAAGGAGCCTCTCTCTCCGGGCTGGCAGCCGGGGAGAGAAGCGCACCCAGCCATGCGGTGGCAGAGACTGCACTGCCCGCGTGTCCGGGCCCCGGCAGGGTGACGGCTTAGTGATGAGAGTACACATCTGGGTGGAGTGTGAGCAGGCTGCCGCACCTCACCCAGACCTGATGGCTGTATCCCCCATGGCCATGTGGGAGAACCCACCAAACCACTGGCACCAGGGAAGAGCTCAAGCGTGGCTTGTGGGTGGACAAACAGCAGTCCTAGAGGGACAGAGGCCAGAAGTCCCCCCGGGGCTGAGCGCCAGGCGGTCCCCTATCCAGGCATTGGTGAGGGGCATGGGCCCTGCTCAGCACTGCCACTGCCCTGGGCTCTGCCCCCACCCAATGGCGCCGGGCTCAGCAGAGCTGGTCAGGGCAGCGCCCGCTCACCAGTCACAAACCTTGGCTGCCCCCTGGGCATCTTGGCAGAGAGCCCATCCTGGTGAATGTAACTGACCCTACCACGAGAGGTGGAGTAACCTCCACAGTGGGGCCAGGAAGCACCTGAGGAACTCATGGGGTCCATCAAGAAAGAGGGCTCAGCCGAAACCGGTTTGGCTCAGTGGATGGAGCGTCGGCCTGCAGACTGAAAGGTCCCGGGTTCTATTCTGGTCAGGGGCAAGTACCTTGGTTGTGGGCACATCCCCAGTAGAGGGTGTGCAAGAGGCAGCTGGTCAATGTTTCTCTCTCATCGACGTTTCTAACTCTCTATCCCTCTCAATTCCTCTCTCTATAAAATAAGATACATTAAAAAAAGAAAAAAAGAAAAAAAAGAAAGGACTCAAACCCTCATGAGGAGGCCACACAACACACAAGTGGTGGCTTAGGGGGGGACCACACCAACTACAAAGCCAGCCTGTAGTCCCCCCTTTCCTGTCCCTCTCCCAGCTTCCGCTTACAGAGGCCCTGGACTTGGAAGAGCCGTCCCCAAGCAGAGGTGTGAATTCCACGGCACAGGAGGCCTGCACAGAAACGGTCATCACTGAGGCCTGGCTGCCCAGGGGTGGGCAGGATGAGAAACCACTTCCCCCCAATGCTCCCCACTGGCCTCCCCAGGATGGCCTCGCCCTGTCCAGTCCTGCACCTCCCCACTCCCTTACCAGGTGCTGACCTCCAACACCCACCCTGCACCCCAACCTCTGCCCATTAGCTCCAGAGACACCGCACTACAAAGGTCAGGATCTGTGTTCACTCCCCATGGTCTGGGACTCAGACGTGTAGGCTCGAGCTTGGCTCTGCCTCAGGATAGTTTAAATGGCCAAGCCTCTGGCCACAGGCAGAAGCTGGCCTCTTGGCTAGAAGTCCAGGCAGGAGGAAACACTTGGGTGGTTGGGGGGGAGGGGAGAGAGCAAAGGGTGACTGGGTACTGTTGCTGGGATCAGTTCTAAACACATGGGCCACCAGGAGGTGTTGGGAGGACATGCCTGTGCCCCAGCATTAGACTGCACACCGTCCACCGAGGGAGCTGCCCGGGGGAAGGAGGTGGTCTCCTCTCCACGGCCACATCCAGTGCCTGGTGCTGACTCTCACTGGGGAGTGGGGAAGGGCACCACCACCTCAGAAATGCCCAAACCCTGTCAGAAGAGACAGCGGCTCTGCGGCCTTTGAGGGCCTCTGCCTGATGGGAAGGGCCACGCTGGAGGACGGTCCTCAGCCAGAACGGAGGCCAGGCCTGCGGCTGCTGCGCACACCGGCGCTGTGCCTTCACACCTGGCTCTGGGCCGCCTTGTCTCGCCCTGTGCTCACAGGCAACATTTCTCCGCCAAAAGGAAGCAAGTGGATCCTCACCCTCAGGGGACTGTTTCAGGAACCAGGGTAGAATGGGGGGGGGGGTGAGGGGGGAGAGAAGAGTTGTCAGAACAAAGAGGGTGACAGAGCTGCTGACAGGAAGAAAAGGTGAGTCTGAGGCCCTCTGTGAGAAGCGGGGGCTGAATGAGGGTGCCACCTGGAGGGAAATGGCAAGAGCCGGTGGCCTGTGCATCCGTCTCACCTTGTCCCACAGAGACTGCAGCTCCTCCTGCCCCCCTAAGTCCCAGAACATGAGTCGAGCCTTCCCCACGTCCACAGTGCCAACTGGGGAGAGAAGAATCCCGGTGAGGCTGCGGCCCCGGCCATGACAGTCTCCCCGCTCCCCTGGAAGAGCACCCTGCTCCCGTGCTCCCGAGATGGCCCTCCAGGAGCGGGCGGCCGCACACACAGGGTTCAGGCCCATGGATGTCCCAGAATCCTCTGGGCTAGGTCCCACACCCACAGCCCTGGGCGACCCCCTTACTGTTCAGTCCCACGGTGGTGGTGATTTTGGAGAGACTCATCCCCTTGTAGTTCTTGCTAAACCGGGTTTTGGATTGCTCCAGGAAGGTCTGAGAGGGAGGAAGAGACAGGCACTAGAGTCGTTTTCAAGGCTGTTCTCCTTATGTCCCTCCTCCACCTCATTCCGAAAATAGACGTTTTGCTGTTAGAGCAGCTGGTGGTGACTGTCCTGTGGCCTTGGGCGGGGAATGAACTTGGCGTCCCAGGGCCTTGGGTGGGGATTGGATTCGGAGCAGGTAGTGAAAGGGCCAGACCAGCGGGGCCTGGGACGGGGAAGCATACCGTCTTCCCGGCATTGTCCAGGCCCAGGATCAGGATGCAGTACTCGTCCTTCTGGAACACGTACTTGTACAGCCCCGACAGCAGCGTGTACATCCTGCCAGGGTGCCATGCGCTGAGTCCAGGACCCCGGGACCGCCCAGCCTCCCCACCCCCGCGCAGGCCTGACCCGGCCCACCGTCCAGGGACCCCGCCCCGCAATGCCTCCTACACCGCCTCCAGCTCCCAGCGGAGCGCGGCGCCGCTGGCGCCGCCAGGGATCCGCTTCCCCCGCCAGACGGGGGTCCCCACGCCTTCGCTCAACTCGGTCCCGCCCATCGGGCGGCGCAGGGCTCGCGGCAGGACCCCTGAGGCGACATACGTGGAAGCCCCGCTCCGGAGGCGGGTGTGGTGCTGCGGCGGGAGGCCCCGGAGCCCCGCCCCCAACGCCGGCGTTAGGCCCGGCGCCCAGCTCCGGCCTACCTGCGCCAGCTGGGCCGGAACCGCCGCGCGCCGGACCCGGTGACCCCACGCCGACCCGCGCTGCTCCGCGCAGTGCCCGATGGGAAGCGGCCGGGGAGGGTGTGAGCTGTCCCGGCGTCCCCGTGATAGGCACTTCCGGCTGCAGCGGCGCTCGGGAAGAAGTGCTAGCCGGCTGCGGTGCCGGAAGCCGGAAGCCGCGTGCCGTGCCGCTCTAGCCGGTGAGGTTGGCCGCCTTTCTATGGCGCGGCCGGGTGACTGCACAGAGGAAGCTCCCCCGCCCGGGGCGAGGGGCGCGGTCTGGGCACCCCGTCACTGGTGGCAAGTCTGGCGGAGGCCGGTGGGCCGGGAGGCTGGGGCTAAGGGCAGCGTCCTGAGCGGACTCGGGAGTTAGGAGGCGGGGGACGCGGGGCCGAGAAGGGAGCCGAGGCCAGGCGGCCGGGAAGGGAGCCGAGGCCACTCGGAGTGGATCATCTCTTCGAGCCTGTTTCTCGTCCTTCAAACGGAGGAGAAGCGCACACGGTTCCGCGGGCCGTCTTGAAAGATCGGCGAAGTCCCGAGTGCAGCTGCCGGCCCCGGGCTTGGTGTCAGCCTCAGGGCGGCGGCTTGGCAGTTCAGGCGGCAGATCCCGGGCTCACCTGGTTTCCCTTCCTTGCAGCTCTGCTCCCACTACCCCTGTGAGGACCCAAGACCTGCCCTGCCGACCCGGGAAGCCAGGTTTTCCCCCGCATGATGGACGAGGAGAGCCTACAGAGCGCGCTCCGGACCTACGGCGCACAGCTGCAGCAGGTGGAGCTGGCCCTGGGTGCTGGCCTGGATCCCGCCGAGCTGGCCGACCTGCGCCAGCTCCAGGGAGACCTGAAGGAGCTGATCCAGCTCACCGAGGCCAGCCTGGTGTCCGTGCGGAAGAGCAAGCTGCTGGCCACCCTGGACGGAGAGCGCCCAGACCAGGACTCCGCCGAGTACCTGGCTTTCCAGAAGGCTGATGCTGAAGCAGTGGAGGCGCCAGTAGCCTCCAGCGCAGAACTGGACCCTGTTCCTGAGAAAAAGGCTGGGCCAGCATCCAGCGAGCCTGGACTGGAGGAGGATGAAGGGGAGGACTTGGAGGATGAGGGAGAGCTGAGTGGGACGAAGGTGAACGCCCCCTACTACAGTTCCTGGGGCACCCTGGAGTATCACAACGCCATGATCGTGGGCACGGAAGAGGCAGATGATGGCTCCGCAGTTGTGCGGGTGCTCTACCTCTACCCCACCCACAAGTCCCTGAAGCCCTGTCCCTTCTTCCTGGAGGGCAAGTGCCGCTTCCTGGACAACTGCAGGTAAAGCGCTGCTCCTGGCCCTGGGGCTGAGGCAGGGTGGGCCGAGGCTTCCCTCTGTGTTGGCATCTCGCCCCTGTGTGTCCAGCAGAGCGCCGGCAGGAGGGAGCTCGCCGCTGGTGCATTCCAGCCGTTGTCCTTGAGTAGGTGTTTCCTTGGATTTTCTCTGGTAAATCAAGAGTGGAGGAGGCTTATGTTGAAAAGAAGGGACTTCCCCCATCACCGTTTTATCCTTCAGAGTTAAACTCCTAAAATGTATGCCCATTGTGGACACTTGCCACCATGCACAGAATCAGAGGGTGGTATGTGACCTCCCAGGTGGTCATCTTACTTCATTTGTCATCCTCCTGCCGTTTGGTTTCATCCACTCTCCCTGCCCTGCTTCTCTCCCCTCGACCACTTTAAAGAAAATTGCAGGGGCTCCTGGGTGCTTTACCTATAAATACTTCAGATGCACCTTCACCTGACTGTTAAGGATGTTATAAAAAGGGTCTCCAGCTCATCATCAGACCTGCCAGACTTAACCGTAGTACCTCTTCTATGTTCAAGTACCCACAGTTGTTTTGTCTTTCTCTTAGGGCATAACTTCAATTTTGCTCCTTTTACTTAATCTCTGAAAGAGATTTACTGAAATCCCTAGTAGGTAATTTACATTTTTAGTCAGTAGTCCAGAGTAACTCTCTAGTTCTTTGGTCTTCTGTTTCTTTTTCCTTCTTTCATTTTGTTGTTAATCTTCACCCGAAGATACTTAATTTCCAGAGAAAGTGGCAGGGGCATGGGTAAAGCGGGGAGAGAAATATCAGTGTGAGAGAGACACAGCCACTGGGTGCTTCCTTGGTCTGAAGCAGGTCTGATATGGAACCTGCAACCCATTCTTTACCGAGAATCAATGAGCAACGCTGGCCAGGGTGGTCTTTCTATTTGTTGTTGTTGTTAATCCTCACCTGAGGATATTTTCCATTGATTTTTAGAGAGTGAAGGGAGGAGGAGAGACAGAGAGAAACATGATGTGAAAGAGACACATTGATTGGTTACCTCCCACCCATGCCCCGACCAGGACCAGGGTTTGAGCCTGCAACCTAGGTAAGTGCCCTTGACTGGGATCAAACCCGGGACCATACAGTCCACAGGCCGACTCTCTATCCACTGAGCCAAACTGGCTAGGGCGATCTTCCACTTTCTTTTTAAATATATTTATTTATTTCAAAGAGGAAGGGAGAGGGAGAGAGAAACGTCAATGATGAAAATCATTGGTTGGCTGCCTCCTGCACACCCTCTACTGTCCACAGGCCGACGTTCTATCCACTGAGTCAAACCAGCCAGGGCATTCCTATTTCTTAATAGGCTTTTGCTAGGTTTTAAGTCTTATTTGGCAAATATCTCCTCCCTCTCTCCCGCCTGCCTGCCTGCCTGCCTGCCTGCCTGCCTTCCTTCCTTCCCTGTCCATTGTGTTAAAGTGCAGCGTATGTGCAGAAAAGTGGGTAGATCAGAGTGTGTCGCCAGCACGGATGAAGGAGCAGAGGACTAAGCCTTTCGGCCTTTGTGCCCTGAGTCTCGGTACTCCCCTGCGTGATGTCCCACGTAAGGGTAGGAGGTTGCTTCCTCTGCACCGGGCATGTTCCCAGTCTCTTTCACACGTGTTAACTCACCTGTGCAGCATTCCTGGGTGGTGGGCCCTGTGACCACTGAGGCTGCCCAGAGCTACTCTGCTTTCCAGCACGGCTTTAGGCCCAGCCGACTCCCTGTACACACCTAACTGCTTCCACCCAGGACTGAGACTTCTTATATTTGCTTTGGGTCTTTATAAACAATAAAATAGATAACATGGGAGCATTCTTTGACCCCCTCCCAGACGCTGTTCTTAGCACCTTGGTGTGCACTCTCTGTACAAAACAAATGTGTGCAGCCTGGTTTCCCCCTCACTGCCAGGCCCACTGTGTCCGAGAGGCTGTGCATCCTTTCTCCCTGCCTTCCTGGCCTCCCAGTTCCCCTGTCAAAGGACTTTATTTTATTTTATTTTAAATACGGAACCACTGAATTTGTGTGTCATCCTTGCACAGGGCCATGCTAATCTTTGTATCGTTCCAGTTTTAGTCTGTGTGCTGAAGGACCGAGCCTTTGGGCCAGCTTTGGAGCTCTGGTCCGTCCAGCACCCCTCTGTGCCCGCAGGCCGGCAGTCTGTCGTGCTTTTCTTGCATCAGGAGGCCCGGTGGCTGGCTTTCTTTTGTCACATTAACAACTAGGGGTGCTCAGTGAGTGCCGTGGCGCAGTTGGGAGCGGTATAGGGACCGCCGCCTCCTGTTGGCTCATTTCACTCATTAGCTGATGGTTACACCGAGATGCCCTCCCTCGTCTCCGTTTGCTGCTCATGGCTCTGTCACAGAAAAGGCGGGGAAATGCTGGGGTTTCTGTTTTCTCTCAACCTATCTTGACACAGAATGACTCTTATAGAGGCAAAGAATTGAGTAATCTTTTAATCTATCCTTCTAATTTATTTTATTTAGCGTTTGATCCATTGACATTTAAAGTAATTGCCAAGTCAAGGCCTGGTGGCTCAGTTGGTTGGAGCATCCTCCTATCACTGAAAGGTTGCAGGTTCAGTTCCCAGTTGGGCGCATATGGGAGACAACTGATGTCTCTCTCAAATATGTGTTACTTTCTTTCTCTCTCTCTCCTGCTCTCTAAAAAAACAAAAACAAAACACATATCCAACAATAAAGACAATAAAGAATTATTAAAAACAAAACAAACAAGAAAACATCTCCTTAGGTGAGAATTTTTTTTATGTTAAAAATAAAAATAAAGCCCAGTCAGAGAGGCTCAGTGGTTCATTGATAATGAACCAGGAGGTCATGGTTCAGTTCCCAAATCAAGGCACATGCCCGGGTTGTGGGCTCCATTCCTCTTGCTCATCATTGTTGTTGCTCTCTCTCTCTCCCTCTCTTTCCCTCTCTCTGAAACCAGTAAAACATAAAAAGTATTTTTTTAATAAAGTAGCCAGCTGGTGTGGCTCAGTGGTTCAGCATCGTCCATGCACCAGGAAGTCACTAGCTGGTTTCCCAGTCAGGGCACATGCCCAGGTTTTGGGCTCAATCCCCAGTAGGGGGCATGTAGGAGGCAGCTTATTGATGTTACTTTCTCATCAGTGTTTCTATCCCTCTTCTTTCTTTGATCTAAAATCAATAAAAACATTTAATTAAAAAAGAGTATGCAAAATAAATAATTATGATAAGCAAGGGCTTGCCTCTGTGGGTTTTTTCCTGTGTGTCTCATATCTTTTTGTTTCTCAATTCCTCCATTACAGCCTTCTTTAGTATTTGTTTTTTCCCACTGTGTCTTTTTGTTGTTGCTGTCCCCCTTATATTGTTACTGTTACAAATTACACCTTTATACCCTTTATGCATTGTGTGCCCAGAAATGTAGATTTGTGATTA